TTTTTAAATATAGGTTAAAACTAATTCTTTAGAAATTGGGATTAATATGTATTACTCTCTTAATAAATTTTTATAAAAAATTATAAAAATTGATTTTAAATTAATTAATTAACCAATTAAAATCATTTTTACATATTAATAGTATTAAAATAAATATCAATTTTTATAATTTCTTTATATAAATTAATTACAAAAAATTGTATTCATTAGATTTTTATTTTATATATTTAAAATCATTTTTACATATTAATAGTATTAAAATAAATATCAATTTTTATAATTTCTTTATATAAATTAATTACAAAAAATTATATTCATTAGATTTTTATTTTATATATTTAAAATAAAAATTAAACAAATACTATATTAATTTTGACATGAAAATTAACGATATTTCTCTTAAGCCTGGGTAAATAACTTTATAAGAGAAAATTTGTTTGATTTGATTGACTGCGAACTCTTTTTTACCTAAAAGTAAAATAAATAAGTGAAGTCCTAATGGCAAAAGTCATTAAAAATCTCTTTTGAGTCTTGTCTTTGAACCCTGGAGGTGGCAAATGTAAGGGACATTTTCTAATAACTTTAAACCATCCAGTTGAATAGTTTTATGGTTTATATTGGTTTAAATGATTTTATTGATTTTAAATGGTTCAATTTCTTTACTGGTTTTAACTATTGACTTGACCCATTTATAATACTGATATTGGTCTGTCGATTCAATTGGCCGATCCGGTTTGGTTTCAAAACAATGAACGAAACAGCATCAAAGAACGGAAGTGAAATTTACCAAAAAAACAAAAAAAAAAAGCTCCTTTTTTTTCCCCTAATTTAAAGTTTAAACAATAAGAGACAATTTTTATTCAAGTTAACTCATCTCATTTGAATGTTACAATTCTAATGTAGGTGAAAGCACCTATTTGCCCTTATGGTTACTCTCTTAAATTTTTTTTTTCTCAACACCTTTCATAATTTAAAATTGGTAAGAAAACCTTAAATTACCAATAAAGTCAAGGTATAAATAAATAATTTAATCATTAATTTTTGATGCAAATAGGGGAGTTTGACCATTAATTTTTGAGTTTTTTAAAGGTTTCAAATTATAAAAGGTATTGATAGAAAAAAATAATTTAAGGTGTTAATAGTAAAAAAAAAAAAATCTATGGTACAAATAGGAGTTTAACCTTCAAATGTAAGATTTATTTATTTTACTTGAAAAAGAGATTCTCGCTATGCTCTTTTAAATTTTGAAACATTGTCACTAAAGATTGTTTCTTGGTTCTAGTTCACTAGAAAGAGGAAACCAGGGGGCATGGGACTTAGGACAAGAAGTTAGAAGGGACGATTTTATTAACACTCTTTAATTTCTATAAAATTTGTGATTTTAAATAAAAAAAAGCTCATTTACAAAAATATTATTAAGATTATTTTTTTTCTATCAATATTAAAATTTATCTTAAATAAATTTATGAACCAAAAACTACGGTCATGCTCTAAACCAACCTTCATCATCTACCATTTAATTGGCGTAATGTAGTACATTAGGCACTGTAAAATATTTAGTTTTTATTTAAAATGACATGCTGAATAATATAAGCAGGGACGGAGCAAATGAAGGTGAAGTACTCTAACTTTAATATGGTACTCTAACTTTTATTTGTTAAAAATGTTATTTTTATAGTATGAATTTTAACTTTTTAAGGACCATCTCAAATCTAGAGAAAATATTTAGGACATAAATAAAGAATTAAAAAAAAAATAAGGATATATGATTTAAATAAAATGAACTTATATCTATTTAATAAATTGGGAATTGATATTTTTAAATATTTCCTCATTTAGTAAGCAAAAAGAAAAACTTTAATTCTCAATTTAAATAACTTTAAATCCATAGTTTTATTTTGGTATTCTTTTATTTTCTTTCTTAATATTATATAAAATAATTTAAAGTTTTTTAATGGTATCAAGATATCTTTTTACTTACTTTTCATGATCGAAATTATAATAACTTTTTATGTTAAATCAATTAAAATTAGATTT